GCTGCTTGCACTGTCCCACCTCACCTTGCTGCCTGAGGCAGTTGCTTCAGTCTGCCCGATGGTAGTACTCAACCCCCAACAAACAGCAGTGTAATAACTCCCATCAGGTAATAACTCCCATTGAGAAGACCTTCATCCAAAATTGGCACTAACAGAAAACAAGAAAAGCTTCCTTGAACTTGCTTTTGAACTGTTAACTTGGAAGGTGTAAGTATCTTTGAATCATTAATCATTCTACAGATTTGATCCAGCAGCATCCTATTAAAAGGTATGCCAACCATCAACCCAGGAATAATGAACTCTCAGAGTAAATATTTGAAAAGTGTGTGCAGTGAGGCTGATCTAGCCCAGTTCACATAAAAATCACTTCCTTAGTAGCGAAAAGTCCCACATGTTCTGTGAGATCTACCCATAAATGGGCATGACTCTGAGAATTGTGTGATCTTCATGAATAAAGTGGTCTGTTTCATAAAGTACAAATTGCACTAACAATTCTTCACTCCGTTTATCTTGCATGTGCTAGCTTTGCCTCCAAGGGTGATGTAAACAAAGTAATGGTGGTGTAAACAAAAACAACAGCATTTTGTCTTGATAAGACATGAAGAATAATTTTTGCAAATCAAAATCCCAGTTTTTCTTCCTGTCATATTCTAACTGGTTACGTGCAGTTTTAACCAACTCAAAAGGAAGGGATTTTATCTTTCCCTTTCCACTCCCCTCTGCTTATGTGGATTGGTGGTGGGGATTGTTTGTGCTACAGCTGGAGAAGAAATTGACAAAATCTTTTATTAGGGACTTTCTGGAATTCTTTCCATTTTGTGTTATGGTTATGGCATACTATAGGTGTAATTATATTTTTCATTCTTTTTGTACTTTTATTTACTTGTGAAGAAAATTGTTTTGATTCCCTCCTAGCTCCTAATTTGAGCAATACGTGATTTGGAATAGCGTGCTTTGATAGGCTTTATGCTTACTTAATTTCTGTTCTTCCAAGGATTTTTTTGTTTTGTTTTGGGTTTGTTTTTGGTAATTTGGTATGTCACCGTGGCTGAAATCCTGTTGCTTATTGTAGTAAATCATAGCTAAAGTAGACTCTTTGACTTATTAGAGATTTCGTGAGTCAGTTCCTCTGATTTTTTGGGTATTGTATTCATTGATCCTTTTTTAGTATTGTATCTCACTGTTATTACTTTAATACTGTCTTGTAATTGTTGTAAGCTGGCTTGGGTTTTTTTTTAATTAGAAAGGTGGGTTAAAAATTTAAATAAAATAAAAATGATTGAGTGGGGCTATTTTAGTTGAAACTTACTGTGCTAAGCAACAGGATTTCAGACAACATGTACAAACTGTGTCCAAGAATATACTTTCCTGCTACCTTTTTCAAACTGCTGCTCCTCTAAATCATTGTGTTGTTAAAGCAAAGGATTTTTGAGAAAATCTGTGCAGTGTTGTGACCTGTGCTGTTACTCTTCTTTCCCCAGATTGCTCTGACTTCCTTTCTGGCTTTCTTCTTTTTTTCTGAATCTTTGGAATGGGGAAATCTTTTTCCAGTCTTTCAGAATATCTGTGAAGTAAGTTTATCATTTAGCATTGTGAAGTACTGAGGGGAAGTAATGTTGACTGAACATTTACTGAACAAATAAATACATTACTAATTGGCTTCAAAAATGTGGACTCATTACCAGTTTTACCTAATGCTGTGCTGTGAAATTTGAGCATGACTTCAAATCACTGGATATTCATCAGTGTTTCTCATCTTTCTTAATCCACAACCCTACTTTAATCTAATAATTCTACATTAATTAACCTGGAGTATTCCAATAATTTTTAATGAATGATTATTCACCTTTTTGTTTGTTCGGCTTATGTTATTTACATACATAATCTGTATCAGTGTGTGTCTGTTCTGAGGTAGTTGATATTTCAGATTAGATAAACAATAGGATACTAAGTTTTTCAAAACTAAGGAAAATATAAGTGGTGCCCCGCATAGCGAGGTTAATCCGTTCTGGATTAACCGTCGCTATGGGGAAACATCGCTATATGGAACAGAAAACGGCATAGAAACACAGAAACTTAGTTTAATGCGTTCCTGTGGCTCTAAAACTCCCCGTTGTGCGAAGTTTCCCCATAGCGCCGCCATTTTCGCGCCCTCGGTAAGCGAGGGCAGGGCGCGAAAACAATGTGGGCGGCCATTTTGGGTGTTCCGGCGGCCATTTTGGAACCACCGAACAGCTGATTCCCCGACATCGCAATGCGAAGATCGGTAAGCAAAACGCTTACCGATCGTTGCAAAGCGATTTTTGCCCATAGAGACCATCGGTATGCGATCGCATTAGTGAACCCAAAAAAGGGATCGCTATGCAAATTTGTCGTTAAACGGTGCGCTCGTTATGCGAGGCACCACTGTATTTACTGTAGAATGGCAAATGTGTTGCCTATATATACTTACCTTGACAATGTAAACTGAAGGGAGTGATATCTGTTAAAAATATGTATTCATAAATATGACCCACTTTGTTTAAATGCTCAGGGTGGTTTATGACATGGTCTGAGGCCATGTTGCAACCAGACCAAAAGGACAAGAGATTTTTTTTATATGAATCCTCATATTTTGGCTACTGTATCAGTGCAGTCTGTGTCTTGTTCAGCAGCTCCTTCAGGGGTGAATGGAAAATTATTTTATTTATCTCTTGCCACTACTGATTATGTGTGAGAGAAGAAGCTGATTGTTTTAAGATAAGTTTTCTGTCAACTTTACAGTGTATTATAAAAATCAGTGAAGACTGGTTTTCTGCCCAACAGCCTCTTTAAGAACTACAGACACCATGCAGTAGGACACTATTGTGTTCTTCCCATTTAGATGAGAAATGTGAAGTTCAAGGGGCATTTCCTTTAAAAGTGACAGTTAGCATGGCCTGCTGGCACACAAGCCTTCTGGACATTTCTCTTAAAGAGGCACACTCAGCAATCCAGTTCCTGATTTGCTCTTGGAGTCAAGATTGGTGGAAATGTTTTTGGCTTCAAGTGGCGATGTTGAATACTAATTGATAGGTGAATGCAGACAACATAGGTACCTTCATATACAGAAGATGCACCAGGTCCCCAGAGGAAGAGAGATCACGTCTCCAAGATGCTTTGTGCCATCAGTTAATTCAGGGTCAAGTGACATATTAAGAACATATTTTTTGTCCACGCACATAATTCCTTCAAAGTTCAGTGCATCAACAGCTGGACTTGCAAACAAAGTCTCTCTTGACCTCTCATTAGCCCCACACAGAATGGCTGATAAGGAATTGTGGGAGCTGTAGAGTCAACCTTTGGCCAGCTACCTGCCTGGGATTAAACTCAGGTTGCGAGTAGAGGCTTGACTGCAGTACTGTAGTTTAACCATTGAGCCACAGGGCTCTTGTCATGTTCCCCATATTAGTCGGACTCTATTGCAGTCATTCTAGAGCGATCTAAAGCTATTCCTTGGGATGCCAATCCTAGTGAGAAAATACCACCCTAGCAAGTAATCCGCTTAGCAAAAGGTATTGAGAGAGCTATATTCATATATCATTACTTCCATTGTTATTTTTATATTTGATATTTGCCTATGTGTGGCAGAAGGTGTAACCTGATGAGAGTCTAAGTATTCCGAAGTGAAACAGTTTGCTCAAAGAAGCTTGCATTTCCTTGGAATAATTCCAATTGCCCTCCTCTGGAATCTGATGCAGAAACGGATTTGCCCTACCCAGTTCCTGTCTGAAAAATTGCTGGAAATTACAGAGAGCAGTTTTTGCATGGATGCTATAAACAATCCTAGACTTCACATAATAGCCAGAGTTCTTGGTTCATATATCTTTCACAGATGGTAAACACCTTCCTGCCATCATTTTTGTGTTTGAATTTGAGCATTGCAGTTCACAAAAGAAGCTGCTTGGAAGCATACAGATAGAAAGTGGCAGAAGTAAAAAAAAATGGAATGAACTGCATGAAATTTGGAATAACAGATTAAAATCCTGTTCCATAATATATGCCATATACAGTGGGGTCTTGACTTGAGAACTTAATCCGTATTGGAAGGCGGTTCTCAAGTCAAAAAGTCTGTAAGTCAAGTCTCCATTGACCTACAGTGCATTGAAAACCGATTAATCCCGTAACAGGCCGTTTTTGTTCCATTTTGGTTTTTTTCTGGTCTGTAAGTCAAATCTCAGTCTGCAAGTCAAACCTAAATATTGCAGCCAGAGAAGTCTGTAACTCAAAAAGTCCGTAAGTCAAGCCGTCTGTAAGTCAAGGGTCCACTGTAGTGGCACTAATACCTTATTTAAGTGAAGCTTACAGTAGCTATGGCTGCGATCCTATACTTACCTGAGAGTAAGCAATTTTTTTGAGTCTCCGCTGTAGAGGATAATATTTTTCAAGTATATATGATTTGTATTTTTTTCTCCCAATTCTTGGTAAACTACAGCGTGGAGTATTTTATTCTGAATTTTTAAATAATGTCATTGAACCTCATACTGTAGCCTCATTTTTACAAATGTAAATTTGACTGTCTCAGAAAAAAACCCCAAGAAAACTAAACTATACTAAAAACTCTTTGTGACCTGATAGATTTCTTGTTATTTTGCCTTTAGTTAAGTTTTTAGTTGTATTTGCTTCCGTACCTATTTGGTACTCTTATTTATTGTCTTTTATGATGTAAGCCATCTTGGGTCCTCTTTGAGGAGAAAGGCGAGATAAAAATATTTTAAATTAAACAATAATTTTTAAAAATTGATGTTAAGTATTGAAGCAACCAGTTCTCTCTACATCGCATTTTATTCCGACAGGGTTTCCCATCATGATGTCTTCCAGATGTGATGAAATACAGTTCCCATCATGTCCAGTCAATAGTTATTTTGGTGCTGAATAATGGCAGCTGTAGCTCAACACACCTGGAAGGAAGGCACTAGGTTGGGAAAGTCTGTGTTGTGAAATGGTATATATCTAACATCTTTCATTTGTTATGCCAACAGCTGCACTACAAGCACTGAAAAGGAAAAAGAGATATGAGAAACAGTTGAGCCAAATTGATGGGACACTTTCCACCATTGAATTCCAGCGTGAAGCTCTTGAAAATTCCTATACTAACACAGAGGTGTTCAAGAATATGGGTTATGCTGCTCAGGCTATGAAGAAAGTGCATGAAAATATGTAAGTGGAAAAAAATTGTCCACAGTAGTCTATAGAAAATGTAGTTCATGGTTGAGGGGCATAAACTTTCCTTTCTGTGTGCATACATGCATGCTGGACAATTATATTGGTTAAGCCTCCTAATACTGTAGTAAAGTTTTGTTCCTAGCTGTAATCAGGCCTTGTTTTGCCCATTACATTTTATGTCCAATATTCAGTGCCCTGTATTAGCCCTATTTAATACAGTGGGCCCTCGACTTATGAACTTAATCCGTTCTAGGAGGACGTTCGTACCTCGGAAAGTTCGTAAGTCGACCTACCATTTCCCATTGAAATGCATGGGAATGGAATTAATCCGTTCCAGCATTTCAAAACAACAACAACAACAACAAAAAAACAAAAAGAAGAAGAAAAAGAGCAAGTCCCACGTTGGGAACTGCAAAAAACAAACAAACAAACACATACACACAAACCACAGAAACATAACCCCCCAGTCCAAACCCACCCTCCAAAAACCCATACAGAAAAGTTTTTTTAAAAAAGGACTTACCACTCCGAAGCCTCCCGGCCCTCTGCTGGCTCCCCGTGGCCGGGGGTGAGCGGCCAGGCGCCCGGCCTGCTCTAGCCCCCTGGCACTCTGCTGCCTTTGGAGTTTTCAAAGGGTTTTCTCCGATGTTGGAGAAAGCCCTTTGAAACCTCTGAAGGCACCAATCGCGGGGGCGAGGACCCCTAGGGAGGTCTCCCATAGTGGCGTGCAAGCCCTGGGAGGCCTTCCTGGGGGTCCCCGCTGCAGCGATGGGTGGCTTCGGAGTTCTCTGAAGCCAAAAAGGCAGGGAGAAAGCGTGGGAAGTTTGAAATCAGCTCCCTCCTTTCACCCGACAGTAAGTCCCCTTCGCGCCAGCTGAGCTCAGCCCAGCGCGAACTCGGTGTTGGGTGAAAGGAGGTAGCCGATTTCTCCCTGGCCGGCCGGCTTGCTTCCGAAGCCAGAAAGGCAGGGAGAAAGCGGGAGAAGTTCGAACTTCCCATGCTTTCTCCCTGCCTTTTTGGCTTCGGAGGTTTCAGAAGGCTTCCTCCGATGTTGGAGGAAGCCTTTTGAAAGCTCCAAAGGCAGGGAAGAAGGGCAGGAAATTCTAATATCCCGCCCTTTCTCCCTTCCTTTTGGGTTCATAACCCAATCTGTGTTCGCAAGTAGGGTTTTCTACTTGTGATGAGATCGGGTTTGTAACCCGAAATGTTTGTAGCTAGGGTCGTTCATAAGTCGAGGGCCCACTGTATGACCTGTAAGTTCATTGCAATCTATTGTATCTAGACTGAAGGCTCTATTTCAAAGATGGTGGCAAATCAGCTTCAGACATACCTGGAGGAGCAGGAGTGCTTTGATTCATTCCAGTCTGGATTCAGACTGTGGCGAGGTACTAGCACTGGTCGCACTGCAGGATGATCATTTAAGGGAGGTTTACAGGGGCAGATGCAGCCTGTTGGTACCCTTGAGTCTCTCAGTGGCTTTTGATACCGTTGACCACAGTATCTTCCTGGACAGGCTCTCAGAGATTGGGATTGGCTGCTTAGTGTTGAGCTCGTTCCAGTCCTTCTCCAGAGAGTTCAACTAGGAGATGAGGTGTCTGCTCCTTGGACTCTTAAGGTGTGGGGTGCCCCATTATGCTGTTCAACATCTATGTGAAGCTGCTGAGGGGGGTGTCATCAGGAGTTTTGGAGTAAGGTGTCATCAGTATGCTCTCCATTACCACCTCTGCAGTGGATGCCATCCAGATGCTTGAGCGCTGCCTGGCTTTAGTACTGGATTGGGCCAGGGCAAACAGGCTCAAACTGAACCCAGAGAAGACAGATATTTTGCTTCAGAAGAGAGGCTCCAAAAGGTTGGGGGAGGATTGTCCCTAGGCTGGATATCATCACCCTCCCATTTATGAACCAAGTTTGTAATTTGGGCATTCTTCTGCAGTTGGCTCTTTCTGGAGAGTCCCAGGCTGCAGCTGTGTCCAGATCAGCCTTTAAACAAGTTAGGCTAATCACCCAACTCCACCCCTACTTAGATGAGAGCTCCTTCAGGACCTTGGTGCAGGTGCTGGTCATCTTTCAGATTGATTACTGCAATGCTGTCTACATAGGGCTTCCTTAGAGACTGATCCAGAGACTACAGTGGATCCAGAATGTAGCAGCCAGACTGGTAGTTGGTGTAAGCATGTTTGACCATATCACCCCATTTCTCGCTTGCCTCCCCTGTTTACCTGTTACCTCCTGGATCAGATTCAAGGTTTTGACACTCATGTACAAAGCTTTACACAGTTTGGGCCCATGTTACTTTTCAGAGCATCTTTCCCCTATGTCATCTGCCCAACCCACCAGTTCATCACAGGCAAGGCTTCTTCAGGTGGCCACTCCAAGGGAGGCCCATAAGTCATCTACTAGGAGTAGGGCCTTCTTTGTGGCGGCCCCAACCCTGTGGAAGCAGCTTCCAGAGGAGCTTCGCCTGTTCCCCTCACTGTGGCCATTCAGGAGGCAACTGAAGACATGGCTTTTCAGGGAGGCTTTCCACACCAACCCAAGCTGACCATCTTTTGTCCATCATTTTGTTCTATAGTTTGCACCGTTTGGTTTATTGGTTAGTTGTTATTTGGTTTTAAATAGTTTTCATTTCATTTCATTTTGTTTATTATTGTAAACTGCCCAGAGTAGTGCTTCGACACTAATGGGAAGTGATATACACATTTAAGTAATAAATAAATAATAAAATAACAACACCCCCTTCAGAGAGGTTAAACTGTTATGTCCTGAGTGAGACACACTTTTTCTCTGACCAGGTCAGTGTGTTATCATCTTGATGAGATAAGCTATTCTTAGATCAAGAGTTTTGTAAATACAAGGTGCTTCATTGCATTTATTTCTTTTTTTTCTGCCCCCCACTAAACATGATATTCACGAACTAGGGTATCAGTATATTTTATGGGGATGGGATTTTCATATTTCTTGGACTGCAAATCCCACCTTTCCCCATTCTGGGAGTTCCACCTGACTTACACACCTAAAGTAGCTCACCTGAGAGAAAAAGGCCTAAACTGGAACATTTTGAGGTTTAGGTAGGCTAAGCTTCCTTTTCCTGTCCCAGTGCTTGCTGGAAGCTTTCTTTCTGGACAGGAAGCTATGTGGAGCTAGCTCTACTAAGCCTCAAGCCTTCCATTTGAGATCTTTCTGCCTGGTGAGCCATATTTAGGTATCTATAGTGAGATTTCTGGGATTTGTAGTCCAAGAAATTTTAAAAAACCTATCCCTCGTATTTTATACAGTAAATTTCCAGACCAATACTGTACACAGTTACCTGACTGTGCACTGAAATTGGAAATTCTCCTTCAAGTACTCTAGCTATTTGAGTTGAGATGCTAACTGATGGGAGGAACTTCTCATTATTCCCCTCATGTTTATGGCATTCCTTATCGATAGGGGGAAGATTTCCATGACATTTCACATTTTCTTTGCAACCTACATTTAAACCCATAAAGAAATTCAAATGTGTTTATGAGTAATCTGGCCTTTCTCACTAAATTATTCATAAACATATTCAGACCCACTCATAAGCTCAAACATAGGTTGCAGGGGAAAAATGAGATGTCATAGAAATTCTCCCCCTACTAATCAGAGAGGTTCACCAGGTGCCTAGATCAATCCTTTTAGATACCAGGTGAAGACCTTGGCCTGAATTTCATTGCTAGTGCCAGTTAAGGTAAACCCATTGAATTGAAGAAATTTGCATGCACTTGCCATTCAGTGGCTGAAAACTAGTAGTAAGTTGCACTAGAACTGGCCCATTGCATCAATGGAACTTACAGAGGAGTTCACTCACCAAAGCTTAATGGATTCAATGAGCCTACTCTACATTCAATTTACTGCTAGATTTCAACCAATAATTGATTCAGTAGGTTTATTTTAGTTGTGACTAGCAGTTGGATTTAGGCCTTCGTTATTATTTCATGCTTTGGACATCTGAGAACTTTTACAACATCTTTAATGCTGATATTTATTGGTAGTTCGTACTTTGTATGCTACTATTGCACCTAATTCTGTGTGCCACTGTGGTAATTTAGATATTCAAGGGTGCTACAGAAGGTTTGGTTTAAATGGCGTGTTTGTTTCATCAGGGACTTGGACAAAATTGATGATATGATGCAAGACATAACTGAACAACAAGATATTGCACAGGAAATTACAGAAGCTCTTACAAGAAAAATTGGTGATGATTTTGACGAGGTTGGTTATTTATTTATTTATTTATTCATTCATTCATTCATTCATTCATTCATTCCACCCATCGAAACCAAAGGTCTACTCTGGGCGGTTTACAAATTTAAAAACAATAAAGCCAAAAACATATATTATACATTATAGCTCCAAGGTGGCAAAAGTATAAGAAATTAAGATACGGCAGGAGGGAAAGCCTGCCCAAATAGCCAGGTTTTAAGTTTATTCCTGAAAACATCCAGAGAGGGACCCAGACAGATCTCCAATGGCAAGTTGTTCCAAAGGCGAGGGGCCACTGCTGAGAAGGCCCTGTTCCTTGTTCTTTTCTTCTGGACCTTCCTCGATGTTAGGCTGAGATATCGAGGAGGATCAGCAGAGATATTTTGCCCCTGTTGGCCTCCCTCAGTAGGTCATCAAACAGGGCAACCAGTGCTGTTTCAGTGCTGCGGCACAGCCTGAAGTCTGACTGGAATGGATCCAGGGCATTGGTTTTATGCAGAAGAGCCTGCAGCTGATTGGCCACCACCCTCTCAACTACCTTGCTGAGGAAAAAAACATTGGTGACGGGCTTATAATTACCAATATCCGCCGCCAAGCTCGGTTGCTTCCTAATGGGCCTAATGAGTGTCTCCTTGAGGGCAAGGGGAACCTTGCCTTCCTGGAGAGACCCATTAATTATTGCCATAGCCCATTGGTGGTGTGACAGCGGTCAAACACTCTGTCCATCATGTCTGACGTCACAGGCTGAAAGTGGTTAAGTCTCATTGGGCAAGACAGAGCACTGGGTGTCTTTGCTCAATCCACTGTTTTCAAATGGGGGGGTAAGATCCCGGCAGATGGCCTCCACTTTTGATTTTAAAAAGGCTGCAAATTGGTAAGGGGAGATGCTAGTGGGAGGCCAGTCACTATGACCAACTCTGGATAGATTGCGGACTATATGGAAAAGTTCCACCTGCTGGTTGGAGGTTTTGCTTATCTGGACAGTGAAGTAAGATCGACTAGCTTTCACCTTAGATTGGTAGAGGTTAGTCACAATTCTGACAGCTATTTGATTATTTTTGTTGGGTTCTGCCGCCATATGCGCTCTAGCCTTCTCCTATTTCGCTTCATTGATTGCAGCTCTGGATTAAACCAGGGCGAAGGGCGATCTCTGCACTGGAGAGGGCATCTAGGTGTGATCGTGTCAACAGCCCTGGTGGCGGCGGCCAGCCAGCTATCAATCAGGATCTACAGGAGCGCCAGTCAAATCAGCCGGAATCCCTCTCATGGTGTCCTGGAATCCTATAGGATCCAATAACCTTTGAGGGTGAACCATTAAAGCAGGTCCTTGCTCCCCACGGGGAGGGAGAGCCACAGTGAGATTGCATTTAATTAGGTGGTGATCTGATCGTGACAAGGGGACAGACACTAGGTCAGTCACCATCGGAGCACACTCACTCTGCTCAGTGGAGAACACCAGGTAATGAAATGTGAGAACATAAAATAGACACAGCATAAATAAGAATTATTTTGTGAATGGTAAAACATGTCAAGCTTGCTTCCAAACATTTAACATTGTTCTTTAAATGCATTCAGACTGTGAAACTATCTTTTTAAATGGCAAAAAACAAATTTCAGGTTATTCTGAGGAAAATTGTCAGAAATATATGTGAGGTTCCTTGTTAACCATTTTTCTCCATCACTAATATAGTTCATTGGATTTTTAATATAACAAATAATTGTATAAGGATCCAAACTTACAGAACATGATTCACTATGAAATAGTGACTTGGACACAGTATTGTTGCCCATTTTTTCTCAGAGGTCAGCGTAGTGTCACTGATAAGTATTTCAGAATTGTCTCGTTTGCCTCTTTAGTAGGGTGTGTAGGGGTTTGTTCTTGAAACATGGCTCTGCTACCACGTGCTGTCCTCTTTCAGAAAGACTCAAATGTAAATTTGAGTTATGCTCTAAGGATTCTCACTGTGTATTGTGACGGAACTGGAAGAGAGTGGGCAAAATGTGGTCTGCTAGCCACCTCAGACCCCCCAGTATACTTCATTAAACAAAATTGAAGGGCTCTGTGGGCAATCTGTTCCAGTCACTTCCAGTTTTGATAAAAGGCACCAAACTAAGGGAAATCGTGCCAATCTTTGCTGCAAATTGCCTCTTTTTAATGAGGTGCTAGTTGTGTTCTTTGGTATGCACTTAGTCACATGACTTGGAACAGTACCTCATTAATGAATAGCAATTTGTCATCAAAAGTATGTAAGCATAAGTCAGCAATTGGATTCTGGCAGCTTTGCTTTCGAAGTATCAGTTGACTTGTCCTCTTGTTAACACAAAAATATTTTTTTTAAGTTAATGCATTAGATCCGATAAGCAGTTTCCAAGCTCCGATTCACACTTGCTTCTTGTCCCAAATACCAAATACTGTTGGTTGGTCTGTTCTGACTTTTTCACCATCCTGAACCTCATGTTAAGCATTCAGCCATAGCCTCTCAATCCAAGAAAATAGTCTCTAGTATTGTTCGAAATAATACAGTGACTCTTCTTAACTCTAAATGTCACCCCTTGTCCCCTAATCCTTGTGAAAGTAGCTCAGCAGTCTCTGTGATTCCCAACCTCAGGTCCCCAGATGTTCTTGGACTACAACTCCCAGAAAACCTGGACAACATAGCTTGTGGTGAAGGATTCCGGGAGCTTTAGTTCAATAACATCTGGGCATCCACCCAAGGTTGGGAACCACTGGTCTATTGCAATCTGAGCCCTGCTGTTAATCTTCAATAAAGTAGACAGTTGAATTCCCTTATGTAAGTCACGTCTGTCATGTTGAAAGCCCAGAAGAATTTTTTTTTTTTTGGCCAGTTTGATGAAACTTTCTTGCCTGTTTTCCAAGAGCGGATTTTCCATTGCCATTAGCAACTACACTTTTTGTAAAAATATTGTAATCTAATTGATATAATGAATACTACTTTCTTGAAAAATTACTGGCTAAATCTTTACTTTCAGGATGAGCTTCTGGCGGAATTAGAGGAATTGGAGCAAGAAGAACTGAATAATAAAATGAGCAATGTGCGATTACCAAACGTACCAGCTACTCCACTGCCTTCCCATCCTGGTAAACTGTTTTATGATAAGCTATTTTTTACTATTGGTATTAGAATGTAAGGGAGATGCCATAGTATATGCGTAATTCAGCTTGGTTAACTTCATCTCTTGTTTTTGAGCTGTTGACCTGCCTATTTGTGGCACAAGTGCCTGCAGCTCCATTGACTTTAGCACTCTGGCTTAATTGCTTTGACCTTTCGCTGCTGGATGCCAAATCATGCTGAGTGAATCTAGAGAGCTTAAAGAAGAATCTTCCCGAGTAGGTTGTTGCTGACCAGGCACATACTGATCGCTTAAGTGTGTACCAAAGAAAAACTGCTTAACACTGCAACTAAATGAGGCTCATCTGCATGGGTGTGTTTTTGAAGCAGTTCAACATGCATATTTTGTGCCTGCACATTTTAATGTCTTTATTTGCACCATGTGTTTCAAAATATCTCTGCATCTGCAAGGTGAGCTGTTTCATGAATTGCTTGCCATGGAGAATGTAGCCAGTGCAATGCTAACCATGCTTGTCTGAGCATTTCACAGTTGCTTTTCAGAACAGCAGTCTTTCCATTATGTCTGTATCACAAAACAGTTATGGGGAATGTGAGCTCTTCCAGATGTTTTGGGACTTGCAGGTTCAGTGGTCCTTTGTTGTTGTTTAGTCGTTAAGTCGTGTCCAACTCTTCGTGACCCCATGGACCAGAGCGTACCAGGCCCTCCTGTCTTCCACTGCCTCCCAGAGTTTAGCCATTTGCAATCCTGGCTAAGCTTCATGGGACTTGTGTCCAGAAATATCTTGGGGAACACACAGCCTGTAATCCTGAAATGAGACAGAGCTTTCTGAACCAATATGAAAAGTTCATAAGCAACATAAATTAAATTTAAAATAACAATAAACCTGAAAAAAACAAAAAACAAAAGCAGTGCCTTTAATGTAAGGAAATCTTTCTGCTTACAGCTGAGAAAACCAAATAATTTTTTTAAAATTCCATCTCAAACAATAACATTTAAAGACATCACTGTTTGGTCTGATTCAGCATTTATAACAGTAAATAAAAGAATGAGACATATTTGTGAAATAAATTTGATAATGTGAAATGTGCTGTAGTACTTCTGTTTTTGTTTTTAAAACAACAGATGGAGCCTGCCATATAACTTGCAGCTACTAAATTCGTAGCTTTTTCATTGACTCTAATCACATTAACCTTTCCACAAACAGGCCTCCTGGGAAATTCTATTTCTCTCTGAGCCTTATCCACAAGTACAAATGTGTTGCAAAATTCTAGAGAGCTGTATTAATCAGTGCACCTGCTATAGTCAACATCAGTGGCAGAGGTGTCTTGCCAATCTCTTTTCCATTGTTTGGATACAAGCCCTCCATTTGCAGGCCTACTCTGCCCTTGTCCTCTTTGAGGGACTTAGGCCATTGTCAACAGGGGAAGCCACTGGTGCTCTGAGTGAATCTGTTAAGTGATAAGAAGATCTATGTTCATGCTAATGTGAAGAATTGGGATGGGAACAGCATTGCTATCATGGCTCAGACAACATTAGCCAAAGTTACAGTTCAGAATATTAATGATCTTGTGTTTCATAGTCACACCTGCCCCTAACATGTGAATCACTTGATTTTAGACCATTATTTAACAATAGCTCCTCAGGTGTATATGTAATATGTACACACCAGTAATAACAAAATGCAAGCATTCATAAATGTATCCTAATCAGATGTCTTGTAATCACCCATTTTATAAACTTCAATAACTTTGTAGAAATAGTAGAGGTTTCTGATTAATGCCATCCTGCATAAGTAGCCTTTAAAGATTTTGTTCTCGTTTATAAATTTGGCTGGCTGTTTTCCTCTTGCTATTAATTCCCATTTTTAGGATTTAGTGGCACCTGAAAGACTAACTGCTATATTTTAATGTGAGCTTTCATGGACAAGCCCACTTCCTCAGACACCTAGAAGTGGACTTGTCCACAAAAGCTGACATTAAAATATAGCAGTTAGTCTTTAAGGTCCTACAATGTTTCGATTTTCTTTATTCAATCTTCTTTTTCTTTTTCTTTTGGTCTCATATGCTATCACAATCATAGCTATTTCTTCTGAAACTACATTTCTAGGATGTCCATCCCCTACAGTACTTGATTATGCCTGGACGTAGGTTCAGTTTTATAATTGAGCTAAACCACTTCCATCCTTCACTGCCCCTACAATACTCGATTATGCCTGGACATAGGTTCAGTTTTATAATTGAGCTAAACCACTTTTATAATTGTGCCTTTACTGTTGTTGTATACCATCCAGAGTAGCAGTTTGCTAGATGGTTGGTTTAAAAAAATGAATAAATTAATAACAACAGTTTTGGGGAAGATAGAGATTGGAAGCATTACTCTATTGGACTACTGTTTCCATAATCCCCCAGCCAAATTCTAAGAGTTGTCCAAAATATAAATTTGCACACACTGGGGAACATAGTACACCAAGTATAGAGTCACAGCTGACTATAGTCAGGATCATGCACATTTCAGAAATTGATCTAGGGCAACTGGATCTAAAGGCTTGATTTCAGATTTAACCCCAGGCTATGAGAACAGTTCCTGGTACACATCTTTTGCTGAGGTCATCAGTGGTGACAACAGTGATCACATCATTCATTTGGTCTCATTAGAATTTAGATTGGCTATAGCATGATCAAGGCTATCCACTGAGTTGTCCCATTTGTACCTTGTTATTCATTAATGTTAAACATTTATTACTTATCTTTTGCTCTACAGCATCATCGAAGAAGAGGGTGGAAGATGATGATGATATGAAGCAGCTGGCAGCATGGGCTTCTTAACACCTTTTCAGAGGTTTACAGTGGATGTAATGAAAGGAACTCATGAACAGTTTTTTTATACACAGAACTTGTTTGTGTTTGACAGAAACCAAAACTGGCCCTTGGTGGGGTTTGTGGGGGTACATTTATAAAAAGTTGGCAATACTCAAGACTTCTTTTTCACAGTGCTCTGTCTCCTTCAGATGTACCCTTCTCTGACTTTCTTTTTTTTATACATATACTGAAGAAACCAGATGATGTTTCTACATTACAAATGGAAATTGACTGGCTAGTCTCTTTCTGTACAGCTTTTACATGTGATATTGAAGCTGTATGTGTAATAGGCATGGCTGTATATGAACTAAAGCAAGTTCAGTTCCATAAAAGGAGAATAAGGCTGTGAACCACTTCATGCATTTCTCCCAGGCCCTTGTTTTTACCTTTAGAAAACTATATTGGCTTTTATTGAGAACATGCAGGCTGCAAAAACAGTTTGCTGCAAAGGGGAGTGCAGCCATGAGTCTGATACTGTGAGATAGAAAAGGTAAAGATGAATTGTCCTTTTGTGGGTTTTTAGAACAGGTTTTGAATGAATGAAAAATATGTGATTGCTCCAATCCCACTTGAAGATGATGACAAGCTGGCACTTTTGACGTTCTTTGATTTAAACAGGGTTTCCCTTTCACACACAGTATGGAGTGAGTAAGAATAGTATCTCACCTTAAAGACCAAGGTTGCAAGCCTGTTGCTTAGAATAATTAATTGCACTAAAGTAGGCCCATTGAATCCTCCATTAATTCAAATGGGGCTCCTCTAGTTGTGACTTACTGTGCCAAAATTGCAGTTTATGGAGGTTTTTACTCACCTAATCCCCACTGATCCAGAGGCCCACTGTCACATTTTATGCGACATACAATGCTAACCAACAGGATTTCAGCTTTAAAATGCAACCCTATGCTGCCCAATTACTGTCTGGAAGGGGTTTGGATTATGGAGGAATGTCCCTTCATTTGCATGGACAAGATCTGATAAAAAAAATTGCAGAAGACTGTCACAAAACACTCTATTAACATGGATCTACTGCCAGTGGTTCCAAAGCTACCTCTCCCCACTGCTGCAACACCTGTTCCTTGAGATGTTCCAGGGTGGGTTGGTAGTAGCCCTAGATTTTTCAGATCCAAAGTCATCTTGTTCCCATGAAAGGATCCATAACTGGAATAATCAACTAGTTAATTTTATCTGTCAGTGGAAATAAATTTTAAAAAGAAAGGGACTGTCCTTAGGGAAACCTACCTTCTCTCTGATACTGCCCTGGTCTGTGTAATCTGTCAGGACTTGGAGATGGTGGATCATCCACTGATTAATAATACACATGCTTTGTCAGGAAAGAGCCCACTTTATCAGTGCCTATATGTCACGAATCACCGTAGAATCTAAAATACTCAGTATGATTTCCTTTGCTTGGCAGTTGTTAGTGCTAAAAGTCACCGCCAACTCTTACATGAATTTGATTAATTTATTGTTAATGAAGATGACAGGTGCAGGAGGATAAGTGTAACTGATTTAATCAAACCCTTTAAAAATAAAGAGCCTTCAAGATTGTGTGTATGCCTGTGTGTAGGAGAAACACATCCCCCAGAAGCTGTTGAGTTCCCATCATCCCCAGGCGACATGACCAATGTTTGGGCATGATGGAGAGTTCACACAGGGTTTCCACCCCTGTTTTAGAACATGAAAGTTGCAATCCAAGAATTCAAGAACTTCAAGCACTTTCTGCAGAATGAGAATCACTGAGAACAACATATTCCATTCTACCTTCACTTAGCTTTTGTTTGTTTGTTTATTTTGAATAGCTGATTTTTTTCATGTTGACGCTTTTTTGGAGAACTATTGTCAAACAGTTAATCTTAATAGCTCTTCAGAAATGTTCTTGTTCTGTTTATTTAATTTCCTTCTCTTTTTCCTTGTCTTAATGAAGCACTTTTCTGTTCAAATGTTTGATCACAGAATTGGAATAATTTATGTGACTTTGTGTACCATAATGCCTACATAGCCGTTTAAGAAAAAGTACTGGGAAATGGAACCTATTATGGAGAGAGCTAACTGAATATTGAAAGGAAGTAAAATATGTTGTTATAAAAATGAATTTATTTGCACTTGACTCAGAAATGGAGCCCAGGAAGCTGTCACATACATTGTGATTGATTTTGAAAGGTTTTCTTTCTATAAGTGGGCTTATCATTAGTGGGGTTACAGTAGACTGACTGTTAGGCTCCTAGTCGGCGTTTAATGATATAAAAAAGGAGGTTGGAAATGTGATAGCTGGCCACACATAGAGATTTGGGCGTGATTTGTTTTTGGGCCTGAGACTCAAAATTCCAACACTTCCAGTGTGCAGAAAACAGGAAATGTTTTAAACAGGTGAGTGCATAGTACTTTAAAACAGCCCATTCCCTCTGGCCAATATCCTGTTACAATATCTAATTATAGAATACATTCCCCTTGCTCTGGCACACTCTTCTTTGCACACCTTGGTATCTCATTCTTTGCAAGATTAGGCATGTAAAGGGGACCTGGTATCAGGACTGGAGGGGAAGGATCATATTGATTGTACTTAGCACTCTGATTAGGATACTGACCTCTGCTTGTAAGTGTGCTGCTGTTCATGCAGGGCGGTAGTGGAGGATCCATTTTCTGCTATACAGTGGTGCCCCCGCATAGCGAGGTTGGTGGAGGATCCATTTTCTACTATATTACTGTAGTAATAAAGAAACTGATTTCCCCCAATCTGGTGCTGTCCATGTGTATTGGCTGCAACTCCCAGTGCCCCTGCTGAGTGGGAGTTGTAGTCCAACACATCAGAAGAGCAGTAGGCTGGGGAAAGTTGTAGGAGCCCTTGCATGTCTCTGATTATGCGCCCGTCCTAAAAATCTTTTTTAAAAAAAGTACTTACACATATAATATTAATGTGTTATACATATCACATTAAATTCATTTAATTGAGTTTTCCTGTTGTTATGCTGAGAAATTTTCCATTCTTTTGAATAGAGAAATGATGTGTGTACCTCTCAGGACAGTTGTAATGAAATGCATGCTATTTCCTGGCCAGAATTCAATTATGTCTTCATGGTGATGTAACACAATTAGCATAGATCTTGGTTAAAAAATTGCCAGAAGAAGTTGGCGGACATATTTCTTGTTGTGCACCATGGATGTAAGTAACAGGATTTTAGGCGTTATTTCTTTATTTATATTCTGCCTTTCCCATACTTCAGGGATCTAAGATCCCTGAAATAGAAGATCTAAGGAGATTTTCTGGAGGTAGAAATCAATACAAGGGCAACTTTTTGATGCCTTGTGCATGTAGCTCCATCCTTGTTGGATATAATATCCTTTCAAATGGATTTATGATCAGGCTGTTAGGCACTAAACTTGTTTTTCTCAAGGGTTAAGAAATTTGGTGCTCCGCAGTGGTTAAAACGCTGCACTGCAGCTACCTGCAGATGTGTTGGGCTTCACTTCTTAACAGTCTCAGATAGAATGGCTAAAGTTCAGGGATTATGGGAAATGTAGTTCAGAGCAGCTCCACAGCACTTTGTTGACTACCCTGAAATGCACACTTTTGTACAAATATTTGCACTGGTTGGCAAGGATCCAAGTAGAATGTTGCCCCGTGTGCATCTATGTCTCCTTCCCCACAAAAAGCATACATAGATGCAGTCTGAAGCAAAATTTAGTAAAATTCTATACACACAAGTTTTTTGAGCTCCTGACCACAAATTTTGTTTTTATTTTTTAAATATTGAGGAATTTTGATTTATTATAGGATTTGTTTCATTTAACTGATGGTTAAACTAAATGCATTTTGCATGGGCATTTCTTCAGAACTGTGTGTCTACTCAATCAGACTTTTAAATTAAGCCTGTGTTTACCTCTTGGCAACCTATCAAAATACAAAGCAAACTAATCCTGAAGACACAGAAGTTAAAAAACCTCATTCTATGGCATGTGCATGTAACTTTAGGCATATAATTGAATTATTATTCAAGTGTACCATTCATGTGCTACTCATGAACTCTGATATTGTTTGGGGACTTCATCTGCTTTTGCTGTAAAAGCTGGTACTCAGAACTAAGTGGGAAGGTGAGAGAGAAGCATGTAGAAGTAGAATACTTTTAGCTGATAGTCTAGTGGCTTTGGTAGAAAAAAAATCATGAAGCATGCTGTTTCAGAAAGAGCTAGACCTATAATTCCCAACTTCTATATGCAGATCATACAGTTTTGCCTGATTTCAGAGATCCAACTCTGTAGCCATCTTTCTGGTGACTCCTTGTGTAGTTCCAAACCAATTTATAGGCAACAGCAGTTTCATTCCTGTCAGTGTCCAAAATAAAGAATAAAGCTAACTCTGAGGTGTGTATAGTGCTATGCATATATAATGAAGCCAAGTACCATGGTATTCAGTGGTTCCAACAGCCAGGTGTGTTTGTTGTAGGTGAATGAGATTTCTAAGTATCCTCTTGAACACACTAAGTTTTACTAATAAGACTGAGAAAGCATAGGGTTGTACTAAAATTCATTAAAAGGTGGGGGTGGAGTGTAGATCTGTATTCCCTGGAGGTGCCACTAACTGTCAGGTCTGCAGAAAGCTTTGTTTCATTGAAGGCAATTTTTGGGCCTCCAGATGTTTGGAACTACATTTACCATATTATTATTATTATTAAAAAGATTTCAATCCCACCTTTCTTCCCAAAAGGATCCAAGGCAGTAATTATTTTAAAAGTATTATATTAAAATAGTAACTAAGATCAATACTAAAACACATTTAAAACAACAGAGTACAACAGTACATTTAAAACCCCTCTCAGATCACCAATCATTAAAGAAAAGTCTTAGTTCATAGTTCTTTACTCATGGTTCTACTGGATTGATGGGAGTTGTGTAAAAAAAAATCTGGAGGGACAAAGATGTCCAAGCCTAATGTAAGCAAACAAGCTGATTTGTTTTTATTCACAATAATTTCTGAATCCTCAGAAAAATATATAATATCTGGGGAAGTTAACTATATTGATTACAAGTGAGTATTGCTAGTTTACTGTAGAAAAGTCATTCAGTTCTAGAGGAGTCCAGACACCTGGAACACCTGATTCGAGATGCAGTTTAAGCACTTTCAGTTTTTACTCGATGCCAGAATGAGCTATGGTTCTATGTGAAGAGGCTTGTGATGTACAGTATTCATCATTGTCTTTTGGTTTATGATAAACATATGCATTCTGTAGTAGGATTAGGCTACAGCTACACTAGCAGCAGGGAGTGAGCTAATGTGGGCTGCTTTGAAATGGTCAGGCTTGATTAGGTTGATTTAATCAAGTCTAATAATTCCTACGGAAATAGGTCTTGCCAATATTCTGAAGTGGCTTAATAAACGAGTCACTTCAGGATATTGGCAAATTACTTCCCATGCGTGACAGAAGATAGGGGAAGTGTATATAAACTATTGCTGATAAGTTGCATCAGTTATATACTCATTTTTTTTGCCTTCTATTAAAGAAACTTTCTTCAGGCAAAATTTTTACTGTGGATTCTATTTCTCCAGCACTTGAAGACAAGGCAGAGAATACATATGGCTTCCTGCAGCTTCAGCCCATTGTTACCTGCCCTGCACTCTAGGATGATTGAGAATAGATCTTGCCCCTCTTCTGAATACTACCTTTCAAGTGTTTGAAAAGTGCTATCAGATCTTCCCTCAGTCCTCTTTTCTCAAGGATAAACACGCCTAGTCCTTTCAGTGTTTCCTCATAGGGCTTGGTTCCCCTGAATACTTGAGTAACAGAAACCTGAGGTTATCTGCTATGCCACACATTATTTTTCAGTTCAGTTCCAATAACAGTCAATGGCAAACAGCATCCTGCCTACTTGAAATATACCTTGAAAGCAAACTGAAACATACTTATGAGCCCTGGTTCCCCCCCCCTCCCCAGTAAATACAAGCAAAACAAAGCATGTTGAAGCTATTACTTATGAACCCTGATGTGTATTTCCCCCAGTAAATACAGTACAAGCAAAACAAAGCATGTTGAAGCTATGGTCATAACAACTCGGAGTTGCATCATATTATTTTTGCCTGGTTGATCAAGTGCTTCTTTTCTAAGATTGCTACTGGGGAGTAAAACTAGTTGCACTCACTTATGATTAGTCTGTAAATCAACAGAATCCGTAGGTAGACCCTGATGTGTATTTCCCCCAGTAAATACAGTACAAGCAAAACAAAGCATGTTGAAGCTATGGTCATAACAACTCGGAGTTGCATCATATTATTTTTGCCTGGTTGATCAAGTGCTTCTTTTCTAAGATTGCTACTGGGGAGTAAAACTAGTTGCACTCACTTATGATTAGTCTGTAAATCAACAGAATCCGTAGGTAGATCTTCCAATATGCTTTCCAAAATGCTTTCTAGTAGGCAATTTCTAAACATGTTGAAGCTATGGTCATAACAACTCGGAGTTGCATCATATTATTTTTGCCTGGTTGATCAAGTGCTTCTTTTCTAAGATTGCTACTGGGGAGTAAAACTAGTTGCACTCACTTATGATTAGTCTGTAAATCAACAGAATCCGTAGGTAGATCTTCCAATATGCTTTCCAAAATGCTTTCTAGTAGGCAATTTCTAAACCTATTCAGTAATTGACAGAAAATGCTTTCTAGTAGGCAATTTCTAAACCTATTCAGTCAAAGTGCACGTTTAGAAGTGGCAACGATAATGGTTCTGTTACTTTTATGCCAACAGTGTACATAAAATAAAAGCAAGTTTTCGTTTATTTATACAAATCAACTCCAGATCGAAAGTTTCAGAGCGATGTACACCCAGTACAAAAACATTGCAGTTAAACAGGTAAATGATAAGAGTTCGACTAAAATGTAGTAGACAGAATAAGCAGTTATGAGAAGATCATATACTGTAATCCCATTAAACTGCTTCACTTTTTGTGTACTTTGGAG